AGAGTTGTTTTCGAGTAATCTAAACTTTGCCAAACAGTCCCTTTTCTTCCTTAACCCTTTTCATTTGTCCTCTTCTCTCGCTTTTTATAGCTAAGATTCTCTGTTTTCTAATCTCCATTGTTGTTCCTCGAAGAGACGATCTGAGTATGATAAGGCTAGATTTTATTCAATAAGGTGAGGAAAGTTTTGTCTTGTTGGTTTTGGTTTTAGGAAGTTTTTGTTTCTTTTGCCTTGGGGCTTTTTTGGCTCCAAATCTTCTTAATGTGGCTAACAAAAAAACCAAACTTTATTGTTTTTCTTTTGTGATTCGTCATGGGTTTCTCTTAAAGTATTCAACTTTATCATCATCTCTTTTGTTTTAATGTGTAGTGCATGTAGAAGCCATTGATTGAGCTAGAGCTACCTCAAGCTTTCTCTTTATGCATTTAGGAAAATTTGTTATTCTAATTTGGGAATTTTTTTATTATAATGAGTGGTTTTTTGTTTTGTTACTTCAATCTCAATCTGGATTTGAATCGCATTCACTTGTAATATGTGGGTCCATTTGAGAAAGGTGGGATCGGAGAAATCAAACGAAAAAATCTGAGCTTTGTTTTCCTTCATTATGAGGGGTTTTGTTTATACAAATGAGGTTTTAAAGCTTTTTTCTTAAGTCTTGCTTTCTATGTAAAGGATTGTGTCAAAGAGTCAAGATTAGTTGTGTGGCTTGTGGGAGTGATTACATGGACCATAGAGCATGGCCTTGGAAGAAGAAATCAATGGAGAAAACCGTTGTCGAAAGCAATGGCATTTCCTCCAATGGAGAGGTAAGTGGATATTCATGATTGATCACATTGTGTTTGATGTTAGGTTGGAAAAATTGATGTTCTTTGCTCATTTATGTATCTTCTAGAGGTGTTTCTATGGTTAGTAATTTAATTTGCTAAGAGATGTAATGGTAATTTGAAATACCAATTTGTGAATATTTGTGTAATAGCTAAGATTATCCTGATGAGTTGGGTTTTGTCTTGGTTAAAACTTTGCCGTATTTGCTGATCATGAGCTTGATTGTTGTTAAAATTAGATTGAGAAGCTTGTTGGGGACAAGATAGAGTTGGAAAATCGCCTTAAAAGTCTAAATGATAAGCTTACCTTTGTGGAGGCCGAGAACAATAAGCACAAGACTGTGGCACAAGAAGCAATAGTTGGTAACTTTACTGAATCTTAATCTGTGTGAATCCATCTATAGACCTTATTCGTCCTCTTCACGGTCTCAAGTAGCTTCCCGTTTCTATTAACAGGCTGGGAGAAGGCAAAAGCTGAATCAGCATCTCTCAAGAAGAAACTAGAAGAAGCTTTGAATGAGAAAAACAGGAGCAACGAGAGGTCGAGTCACACGGATGCTGGTCTAAAAGAATGTATGCAGCAGCTTCGCTTTGTTCGGGAGGAGCAAGAGCGAAGGATGCATGATGCTTTGACAAAAGCATCACAGGAGTACGAACGAAGATTGATTGTTATAAAGACAGAATTGGCAGATACCGGTAAGAGGCTTGCAGAATCAGAAGGCGAGAACACTCAACTCTCAAAGGCTTTGTTAGCAAAGAACAAAACCGTTGAAGATTTAAACACAGAGAGGGATCGTGTCAAGGCTGATTTCAATGCTTTGGTGAGTAGTTTAGAGTCGAAGGAAAAAGAAAACACTTCGCTGAGATATGAAGTCAGAGTGTTGGAGAAAGAACTTGAGCTAAGGAATGAAGAGAGAGAGTTTAGTCGTCGAACAACTGAAGCATCACATAAACTGCACTTAGAGAGTGTGAAGAAAGTTGCAAAGCTAGAAGCAGAGTGTCAAAGGTTACGGATACTTGTCAGGAAACGGTTACCCGGACCCGCTGCTATGTCCAAAATGAGGAATGAGGTAGAGATGTTGGGAAGGAGAAGATTCAATGGAAGCCCTAATCCGATGATTGATGCCGAAAAGATCAATAACCTCACTGAGCAAATATGCTTACTGGAGGAAGAGAACAAGACTCTGAGTGATGCCCTAAACAAGAAAGTCAATGAGCTTCAGTTCTCAAGAAATATGTATTCTCGAACAGCATCAAGACTACTAGAATTCGAGTCTCATCTTGAAGAATCTTCTAAAGGCACAAACATTGAGCCAAGCCGGAGCAGCAATGTGTCACACGAAGTCTCTGTTGCATCAGTATCCGAGTTTGACAATGATGATAAATTTAGCTGTGCCGATTCCTGGGGTTCTGCTTTGCTTTCAGAGCTGGATAATTTTAAGAACAAAAAGCAAATGGGCTCGAGTTTGGTTAGAACCCCTAAAGCTTCAGAGATGAAACTAATGGATGATTTTGCAGAAATGGAGAAGCTTGCAATGGTTAGAAGTACAATCGATAATCGACCAGGAAGTTCTCCTATTTGTTCTTCTGATTCCATTTCAGCTACTGGTCCAGTAGAGAATGAATCTAATGAAAATTTATCAGAGGTAACGAAAACTCCTGAAACAGATTATTCGTTAAATCCTGGCGCATCTTCCCCAGATATTAAGTCAGACTCAGTGAGCAAATTACCTCAATCTCTTCATGTCATCTTGAAGGCGATTATGGAGCATAAGCGGATCACGCAGAGAAACACTGATGAAGTACTTGAAGATATCAGAAAAGCTTTGTCAAGTGTAAACCATTCAGGCTCCTCTGTGATAAACCATCAGGACTCGGTGAAACTATCTCAGATCGCAACTCAGGTTTCATCAAAACAGATGAAGACTCTCATTGTGGATGATACACCAGATATGGAGTGTGATGTTAGCAAATCGATTCGCAGAATCATTGAAATTACCGAGGGAGTCAGCTTAAAAGATGAGAGGCATGATTCACACGGAGAATCAGAAAGGCTTCCAGGTTACACTGCTCGTGTCTTGCAATGGAAAACCTCAGAGCTAAGTTGTGTACTGCAGCGATTTCTTCATACTTGTTACGACCTATTAGACAAGAAAACAGACATGAAGAAGTTTGCAGAAGAGTTAAGCTCGGTGCTGGAATGGATGGTGAACCACTGTTTTTCTCTCCAAGATGTTTCAAGCATGAGAGAAGAGATTAGGAAGCAGTTCGAGTGGGATGAGTCACGGAGTGGAAGCGAAGTTGATATTGGAATATTTGGTCAGGTTTCAGAAGCAGATAAGCTTAAGACAGAAGATGTCTCCTTTTTGGCTCGCAATGATCGGGATCAGTCGATTGAAGGCAATCACAAGATATCAAACAAAATGGTCAAAGAGGCAAAGGACAACACAGCAAGGTAAACGTGAATGCTTGAAGACTTCATGCCTGCAATATTCTACAACAATCAATCATATGTTTATCTCTGATGCATCCAACGGTTTTCTTGTTGCAGTGCTTCAGCAAACGAGCTCAAGCTGGACGAAAAACAAAACATGCGAACTGTAAGTTAGCAGCATAAGGTCAAATTCTTACATTATAAATAAGTCAGAGAACAGCCTCAACAGTCTGTTTTCTTCTGGGTTTGATGATTCAGGAATTGGAAATCACTGCTGCTTCAGAAAAGTTAGCCGAGTGTCAAGAGACGATCCTGAACCTAGGAAAGCAGCTCAAGGCATTGACTAACTCAAAGGAAACAGCTTTACTTTCAGACAAACTCATGCCTGACCGTACCGACAAATCGAACAACCTAGCTGGTGCACAACCTTCACAAGAGACAAAACAAGAGAAGAGATTGACCAGCCAGAGATCATCTCTTTTGGATCAGATGAAGGCAGAAGATCATGACACTGGAGAATCCAATAATCAGAAGCCTCAAACAACAGATAAAAACGGAAAAGGAGGCAGTTCTGTTTACAATGAAACCATTGAGGCATTGGAACAGATTCTTCTCTCAGACAAAAGCAAAGGCAGCAAAACAAACTGCTTCGCCGTTGTTCCTCAGAAGAAGAGTGGTGGAGTTAAGAGCCTCTGGAAAAAGCTATTGGGGAAAAAAAAGAAAGGTACTAAGAGCAAGAAGGTCCCTAATCCATTTGCCACCTAAGAAGATGGTTTCATCTAGACTATAATCTAATACCTTAATCATGTTCCTTTTTATGATACTCCTACTATGCAAACTAAACTGTCATTTTTCGTAGAATTTTTGGCAGTC